TGGATTTCTCAGCAGAAAACTACAGGCCAAGAGAGAATGGAACGATATATTCAAATTGCTGCAAGAAAAAATACTTGACACTTGAAAGACCCAAAGATACTGTATCCAGCAAAATTATCCTTCATAAATGAAGAAGAAATAAAGTCTTTTACAGACAAGCAAATGCTAAGATCATTCATCATCATTAGACTAGCAAAAAATGTTACAAGGGAGTCCTAAACCAGGAAGAGGAAAGATGATAGTTATGATCATGAAAACATATGAAAGTGTAAAACTCATGAGTAAAGCAAAGACACAAAAGAGGAAAAGACTCAAATGGTACCACAACAGAAAATTAGCAAACCACAAGGAAAAACAATAAGGGAAAAAGAAGAGAAGAATACACAAAACAACCATGATATGGTTTGGCTCTGTGTTCCTACCCAAATCTCATCTCAAATTGTAATCTCCATGTGTCAAGGGAGGTTCACGTGTTGAGGGAGGGAGGTGACTGAATCATGGGGGTGGTTTCCCCCATGCTCTTCTAGTGATAGTGAGTGAGTTCTCGAGATATCTGATGGTATTATAAGTCTTTGGAAGTTCACCCTTTGCTCTCCCTTTCCTGCTGCCTTGTAAAGAAGGCCCTTGCTTCTCGTTCGCCTTTTGCCATGATTGTTAAGTTTCCTGAGGCCTCCCAGCCATGCAGAACTGTGAGTCAATTAGACCTCTTTTCTTTATAAATTGCCTAGTCTCAGGTGTTTCTTTATAGAAGTGTTAAAATGGACTATTACAAACCAGAAAACAATTAACAATATGACAGGAACAAAACCTCACATATCAATAATAACCTAAAAGTAAATAGAATAAATTCTTCACTTAAAAGATATAGGCTGGCTTAATACACTTTTTTACAAACATAATTTAACTATATGTTGCCTACAAGAAATGTACCTTACCTGTAAAGACACAGACTGAGAGTAAAGAGATGGAAAAACATACTCCACACAAATTGAAATTAAAAGCAAGTAGGAGTAGCTATACTTCTATTGGATAAAACAGACTTTAAGTCAAAAAGGGTTTTTAAAAAAGGCAAGAACATCAAATAATGACAAAGGAATCAATCCAGGAAGAGGATATTACAATTCTAAGTATATATGCACCCAACAGGGAGCACCCAGATTCACAACACAAATACTACTAGATCTATAGAGAAACATAGACTCCAATACATTAATAGTGGAGAACTTCAACACTCATCCCTTAGCATGAGACATATTTAGATATAATATCAACAAAGAGACATTGTATTTAACTTGGACTTTAGACCAAACGGACTTTAAAGATATTCACATAATATTTTTCCCAACACAACAACAGAATGTACATTCTTCTCATTAGTACATGGAATATTCTCCAGGTTAGATCATATGCTAGGCAAAAAATAAGTCAACAAATTTTTAAAATCAAAATCATACCAAGTATCTTCTCAGACTACAATGAAATACAACTGGAAATCAATACCAAGAGGAACTTTGAAAACTATAAAAATACATGGAAATTAAACAACATGTTTCTGAACAACCACTGGGTCAATGAAGAAATTAAAATGGAAATTTAAAAAAATGTTTTGAAACAAATGAAAATGAAAGCACAATATACTGAAACCTGAGGGACAGAGCAAAAGCAATGTTAAGAAGGGTTTTTATAGCAATAAATTCCTGCATCAAAGAAACAGAAAGATTTCAAATAATCTAATGATGCACTTCAAGGAACTAGTAAAGCAAGAACAAACCAAACTCAAAATTAGTAGAAGGTGATAAATAATAAAGATCAAAGAAGAAATAAATGAAATGGAGACTAAAAAAGCAACACAAAAGATCAACAAAATGAAAACTTTTTTTAAAGATAAAATTGATCAACTGCTAGCTAAACTAACCAAGGAAAGAAGAGAGAAGGCCCACTCAAACATAATCAAAAGTGAAAAAGGAGATATTAAAACTAATACCACAGAAGTACAAAAGATCATCAGAGACTATTGTAAACAACTATACACTAACAAACTGGAAAACTAGAGGAAATGGATAAATTCCTGAAAACATATGACCTACCAAGATTGACTCAGGAAGAAATATAGAACCTGAACATACCAATGAGTAGCAAGACTGAATCATTAACGAAAAGATTCCCCCAAAAAAGAAAATTGCAGTACTAGATGGATTCGCTACTGAATTCTACCAAATAGATAAGGAAAAACTAATACCAACCCTTCTCAAATAATTCCCAAAAGTTAAGGACAAGGGAAATCTCCCTATCACATTTCCCAAGGCCAGTGTTACCCTAATACCAAAACCAGAAAACGTGCAACAAAGAAAGAAAACTATAGGCTAATATCTCTAATGCACATAGACTGAAAAAACCTCAACCAAACACTAGCAAACTGAATCCAATAGCACATCAAAAAGATTATACAACATGTTCAAGTTGGATTTATACCAGGGATTCAAGAACGATTCAACATACACAAATCAATAAACATGATACATCACAACAGAATGAAGGACAAAAACCATATGATCATCTCAGATGCAGAAAAAGCATTTGAAAAAATTCAACATCCCTTCATGATAAAAAGTCTCTAAACTATGCATAGAAGGAATATGCCTCAAAATAATAAAGACCATATGCCACAATTAAATATCATTTCACTCCAATTAGAATGGCTATTATTAAAAAGACCAAAAAAAAAATACACATGATGGCGAGGATACAGAGAAAAGAGAACTCTCATGCTATTGGTGGCAATGTAAATTATTACAGCCACTATGGAAAACAGTGCTTAGATTTTCTAAGAAACTAAAAACAGAACTACCATACTATCCAGCAATTCCACTAGTGGGCATTTATCTTTTAGGAAGATAAAGAAAATCAGTGTATCATAGGAATATCTGCACTCTCACGTTTACTGGAGCACTCTTCACAATAGTAAAGATATGGAATTAACCTAAGTATCCATTAATGGGTGATTCGATAAAGAAAATGTGGTGTATATACACAATGCAATACAATTTGGCCATAAAATAATGAAATATCATTTGCAGCACTATGAATGGAACTGGGAGTCATTATGTTAAGTGAAATAAGCTAGGCACAGAAAAACAAATATCACATGTTCTCACTCACATGTGGAAGCTAAAAGACTTGATCTCATGGACAAAGATAATAGAATAATATTATAGATATTAGAGACCAAAAAGGGTGGGTAAATAGGAGTGGAAAATAAAGAGAAGTTGGTTAATGGGTACAAATATAGCATTAGAAAGAATGTTTTATAGCAGAATAGGGTGACTATACTTAGCAACAATGCCTTGAATATTTCAAAGTAACTAGAAGAGAGGATTTGAAATGACGCAAATACATAGAAATAATAAATACTCAAAGTGACGGATAGCCTAAATATCCTGACTTGATCATTATACATGCTAGTCATGTAACAGACACTAACATGTACTTCATAAATATTTAAAATGTTATTTATATATCAATAGAAGAAAGCATAAGGTAAAAAATTAGTAAATCTGAGAACCAAGGTAGATGTGTAGCATAGCTACACATAGCTGAGAGTTCACTGGACTCCGGAGCCACATTGAATATCAAAACTCTCTCTGCTTAGACTTTGGGGAAGTCACAAAACTCTCTGTGCCACAGTGACGGATGTGGAATATGAAATTACGAATAATCCTCTTAGGATAGTTGTGAGAATAAAATAAGTTAATGTGTCTAATATATTTAAGGCACTTATCATTGTGTAAGGCACATAGTTAAGTAAGGTTTAAGTGTTTGCAGCTGCTATCAGAACTGGTACAAATTGGCTTGGCAGATAACAGGGCATGTGCAAAGTATAAGCAATATGCTCAATGCATAAAACTATATATTGTAGCTATTTTTTTCTTGCTAGCAGAAATACAATAGGCAAGAAATGGAGAAAGGTCACTGAAGGAGATGAGAAAGAGGAGATAAAAGCCAGACTTGCTCCATGTTTTTTTATTCCACTTAAAAAATTTTATTACATTTCTTTTTTCACTATAAATATGTATATTTACATTATATATTTTATATATTTTATGTTTACATATATATTGTTTTCATTATAAATATAAATACGTATTTTTAGCGGACAGTTTTGGAAATACAGAAAAAAGAAAAAAAAAATCATACTCACACCATCCCAAGACAGTTATTGATAATATCTTGACTATTTTCTTCAATCCTCCTTCTGTGCAAAGCTCAGTTTTTTGCATGGTTAATTTCTATTATGTGTTCTCTGTATCTACTTTTGCCTGGTCTCCACAAGTCTTTTACTACCAAACGTGTCAGAGAGCATCTAAGCTTGACTTACATGACTGAAATGTGGTTGTCTCCCCAAAATGTTCAACTGATTGACTGATTCATCAATGTTCTCTCATGTTCGATTTCTAACAGTTTATAATCAAAATTTAATTAAAAAAACAATTTCTGCATCATCGATTTAATTTGTTTCATTCATATATATAAATATGTGTGTATACATATATATATATATAAAACCATCTTAAAGAAATACTTTTAGCCTTTCTTTTCTCTCTTTGCAGTAAAACCATTAGTTAAACTATATTTATTTGACTAATAATGTATTTTACAGCAGTCAACCATGATCATCACCGAGAGTGAAACAATATGCCCTTAAAATAGAAAATAAAAACTATATATATACACACTTAGAAAAACAGTTAAGTATATTGTTTTTTAATGAAATGTTATTTTCTTATGTAGTTTGTGAAATTATATTTTCTCAAACTACTATCTCTATTTAGATATTAAGCAATAATAATGTACTACTCACAATTACAGAAGATTAAACTACCAAACAAAAGAATATTCTATAATAAAACTAAATGTTCTGTTTTGATCCTAAAACAGATGTCATGTTGTTACATGTAGTATATGAAATATTTAAGAACATTAAGAAGTTTTTCAAAACATACCTTTACTAGCTTTATTTCAACTGAATATAAATACGTTTTGAGGGATGCATCACAACAGAGTCTGTATAAAACCGATTCCGCAACAAAAAATAAGGCAGGCAGATGATCATAATCAAAGGAAGCATGGTCTAGAGATGCATAAAGCATATTTAAAGCTTCTGAAATATTAAAAATATAGAAACTGCATCATTTGAAAATCATCCTGTTTTTCTACATGCTATAATTACTTTTTATAATTATTTTCTACCATTAAGACCAAATTGCAGTTTTAAAATGTATTTACAAATTCTTTGACACCTTTTTCATCAAGAGGTGATGTCTATACGCCCTTCTCCTTAAACTTGAGCAGACCCTGTGACAGCTTCAACCAATAGAATGGAATGTGGCAGAAATGTACTATGTGACTTCTAAGACTGAATCAGAAAAGGCACCACTGCTTCCACCTGGATCTCTCTCTCTCTCTCAAGATACTAGCTTTGGAACCCTAAGTTGCCATATAGGAAGTTCAACTTCATGGCATGAAGCAACTGAAACAGAAACCACCAAGGTCGAGAGGCTAGAGGAAGAAGAAATGTCCAAGGGGGCTCAGCTATTATAGATCCAACACTATACAGGCCCAACACTAAATAAATCACCAGGTCACACACATAGTGGTGGAGAAATAGGACAGAACCAGATGATAAAAGGCAGTGCTCAAGATAAAAAGGGAAGAGCAGAAGACTAGAGAATCAAAGTAGAGGAAACAGGGCCACCCTGTGAAGCTGAAGGAGGAAGAATATAGAGATAAGAGCCTAGAGAAAACAGCTTCTCAAATCATTACAAAAGTTTTGAGGAGCTTCCATGTAAATATATGAGGACAAACAGCAAATACAGGGACTTGAGGAAAGAAGAACCCTGACATGCTCAAGGGACAGGAAGGAGGTCAGTAGGGCTGAACATAATGAGTAAGTAGGGAGGTAGCCAGGAGCCAGCACATGCAGAGTCCTGTAGGCCATGATATGGAGTTGGGGCTCATTTGAGTGTAATCACAAGCTGTTGAGTGGAGGGTGGACTATAGAATGAGGAGCAGACAAAAGTACAGGTAAAACACCCATTCAGTTATTTTAGTTGTGAAGACAGTAAGAAGTCATACTGAGAGTATTATTTAGAGTTCAATATGTGAGTGTATTGAAATGCTTTTGCTGCATGTAACAGAAAATATAACAAAAATGTCTTCAAAATAAGGAGGTTTATTATTTCACAAGATTAGAGATTGGAAAGGTACCAGGGACAGCTAAGATAGCTGCCCTTTAGATGCACATTTCTTTCATCTTCTAGTTCCCCCTCAAGTGCATGAGGACTGTGATGACTGCACAAACTTCAGGCATCATGTTCTTACCAAGCAAACTAGACAGGAACAAACAAGAGTGTAGGGAGGAAAGGAATGCTTTTTTCCCAGGCATGTCTTTTACGAAAGCAAGTCAACAAAAAGTACAGGAAATAGAGCTGTCATTACATCACTTTGCTGAGGATCAGGTCATGTGACTAACCCTAATCAAATCACTGGCAAGTGAAAAGGAATTACCATAATTGATTTTGACCAGCAGTCCCCAACCATTTTGGCACCAGGGACTGGCTTTGTCTCATAAGGAGCACGCAGCCTAGATCCCTCACGTGTGCAGTTCACCATAGACTTCACACTCCTATGAGGATCCAATGTCACTGCTGATCTGACAGGAGGTGGAGCTCAGTAATGCTCACTCACTGGCTGCTCATAGCCTGTTGTGCGGCCCAGTTCCTAACAGACCACAGACTGGTACCAGTTCATGGTCCAGGGTTTTGGGACCTCTGATTTAGACCATCCATGATTCACCCCCGTGGGGTTGGGCAAGGGCCAGTCCTCTTCTAAATCACATGACTAATTAAAACTGAAATTTAATTGTCAATGAAGAGCAAACAGCCTCTTCTTGCTGGTAAACCAAGAGTGTTTACCTCAATATCATTTAAATTATTAATAGAGGTCAGGCTGTGGATGGCACTATGATGAAGAACCATAAAGGCAAGTTAAATACAAAATAATTCTTCCTGCTGCTTGAAAACTCCTAGACAGCACTACAAAACCTAATTTACATGGGGGAAATTCTCTCTGAACTCATGTGGTTAACAATCTAAAACTATTGTAAAAGGCATATATATACAATTTAACGATAGTGATGGAAGGAATTTTACCCCCTTAGAAATAACGTTAATTTTTTTTTTAGATTAGTCAGAGGATGTTTTAAAGGAGGCATAAATGAGGAGTGATAAATGAAAAGGTAATAAGTAAAGCTTGCTATTTAAAATAAGTGGAAAACAAATGGTCATTTGATTAATGTTTTACAAGTAATAATTATAAAATGAAGAAGCAAATTTCTCTAAAGTCTAGTGCCTATTGTAATTGGAAATCACTAAATGACATTTTGTATTAGTTTTTAATTAGCTGCTAATTTTAGCAAAAAAGTAATAAAGACTATGCTGAGTAAAGTTTTGAAAATAATTTTATCACTAAAAAGCTAAGTAGTTAAAATCATAAATTCTAAATTACAAAATGAATTTTCAAAATAAAATGTATTTCGATAGAGTAGAAGAATTTCTTGTCTTCTGCACAATTTTTAAAAATTAAAGTTCTCAAATTATGCCTTCACTGATAATCTAGAAAATGCTTAGGATACCAAATAAGAATTTAAAGTACATACCATCTTGGATTTCCCCTTTGCATTGAGCCAGATATATTACTTCAATCCATGCAGCAGGAAGATGCACATGCTTCCCAGAGCCCAGGGTTTTGAGACCCAATTTTCTCTGTTATGAGGAAGCATGAAAAAGACAAATTAAAATGTACATCTTTTTACATATTTATTACTTTTTAACTCTTAATTATGTTCCAAAAGTCATTCTATGAAGCTAATGCTCGGTGGTCAGAGTTGTATACAATTTTATGTTTTTGCTTTTATTACTCAAATTTTTGGAGATTTTATGCAAATTTTATTAGTGTTAAGATGTAAAAAATGTTGATACTATAAGTAATATCATTAGCTATTTGCTGAAAATAATTCTCATTTTTTACTTTCTAGTGATTACTTCCAATTTTTCCCCAAGAGAATGCATTTTTTTTTATTTTATGAGGAAAAACACTGAAGAAATGTGATAAAACAGAAGCGAGTTTGATGCCAGTTTGCTGGAAAACCCTGGTTACTTCACTGTTGATGTGCAGAAGTTAATGAACATAAGGGAGATGATCAGGATTGTTCCACTTCCCTTATTGTGCCCACTCCTGGGACTGTTGCAGGGAACACTCGTTCAATTGGAGAAAAGTTCACTGATGAATGCACCTCCTGGCACCTGTCTGCATATACACTTACCAAAAGTATACTCTTTTTCTAATCCAATTTTTTTCAAAATCTTCAAATATATGGGCAGCCATGAACTGGAAAATAACAACCACTACAACACCACAAAAAAGGTGGCTTAATTTATGCACCAGTTTTGTGCAGCTTTTATTTAATGAATTATTCATATCAAAGCAAAATATGTATGTTATTTCTCTGTAAAATTTAAACTGAATCCAATGTAGAAAAGGAAAAGCAAGGACTTACTTTACTTCCTGTTCTGTTTTGATATCTATTTGTAAATTTGGGGATTAATGTCATATTCTTAAAGAATATATTTTTCACAATTCAGGTGAAGAATAGTTTGTTACAGAGAAAGAACAGAGTACTTCATGCGTATATATAAAGGTTTAGAAAGGCCTTTTTCTCCTTTGAGACACAGCATATCTCCATTAACTTTTTAAGAAAAAAATAGAATTTTCATAATCAAAAATTTATTTGCCAGACTTAACATTTCGCTATGGGCTCCTGGACTGCTATATTTCCACAAAAATTTACAGGAGCTTTTATTATTTGGTTATAAGCTTTAACTTTAATTTGCATCAATATTTTAACTATCCCTACTTATAATTAAAGAAAGATGTATTCTTATTTTTTCTTACAATATTTTAGAATATGTAATCATGTACCAACTAGAAAAGGAAGTTAACATGCTGAACAATCCAATGATATGCCATTACCTTACATCGGAGAATGATTTTTCTAGCTAGTTCCAACAATTCTGCCTTCTCTTCGGAATTTTGTGTTTGATTGAATCTCAAGATGAATTCTTTTGTGATTGAAAATGTTGGCCTAAATAAAACATTGAAAAATTAACATTCAAAAATTATAGCTATCATCTCCAAATTTCAATTAATCAACTTCCAGTGGCTATGTATAACTATATTCTAGAAAAAAATACTTTCTTAATAAAACTATTTCACAAAAAAAAAAATCAGTAAAAGATATATGCAAGCCTCCTGGATTGATCCTGTCATACTATTAGATTGAGAAACATAATTCCCATTGTTAAAGACCTTTGTGGCCCCTGAGAAAAAGTTTCTGAGATGACTGCTAGAAGTCTTGTTGGTATAAGCGTTCTTCAGATAAAATCCAGCACGGCTTCAATTATGTTGAAGGCTGATTTATCTCCTCACATAAATCAGCATTGATTCATTTAAGCTAAACTTTTACTCCTTCTATGCAAGTGGAATCAGCCCAAACATGGTTGGATTTGAGGGAGCAAGGGAAGAAAGAAGTATAAGTATAAAGTAAGGTCAAAGAGGTAGCAAGTAGCCATATTAACTACATGAAATGGGAGACTACTACAGGGTTTGAGAAGAGGCGTGGCAAGATTTAACTTGAGCTTCAACCAAATTTCTCCAATGCTATATTAAGAATTAGCATGTAGGGAGGTAGGATGTAGCAAAAGGGGGAGCTTATATGTAGTTAGGTGAGACGTATTAGTGGCTTGGATCAGGATTATAGAATATAAACAAGGAGAAGAGTTTAGATAATGGATATGTCTTGACTTCAGCTCCAACCAGACTGGCCAATGAATTAGAAATTAGGCATGAGAGAAAGAAAGAAGTCGTGATTCAACTGAGTAACTAGAGGGACTGAATTGCTATTTACTAAGATGGGGAAAACTGTTAGAGGAGTGGATGTGGGGTGAAGATAGAGAATAATTTTAGTATTGGACATGTTATGTTTGAGATTATCATGGCCATCCAAGTGGAGATGGAGTGTAAGCAGTTGGATATATGAGTTTGAATTTCAGGGAAAATTCAGACAAGATATATCAGTATTCGAGTCATCAGCATACATATGGAATTTAAAGTCTTACGAATTAAATGGATCCCATAGGGAAAATGTAGAGAGAGTATATGAGAATTTCAAAGAAAAATAGGACAAATAAGTTGAAGGCGTATGCAAGAGAATAAGTGAAGTGATAAGAAGGATGTACCGCAAAATTGAAGATGGGCATGGGATCAAAGTGATATCAAAGGAATAGTGAACAGTAGAATCAATGAACTTTGTTTTTGTGAAGTAAAATTATTGTTGGAGTCATGCTATTAGAAATAATAATCTGAAAAAATAAAACATTTTAAATTACTGTATTTACTGAAATAGAATTTACTAAATTTGTTGCTCTCTGAGATAAAGAAAAAAATGAATAGAAATCAGATTTTGTCCCTGAGTAATTCACAGTCCTACTGGGGAGACAGATCTACTAAAAATAACAAGGGTGCCACATGATCACAGGCTGAACAGAGGTAATGATAAGGTGTTCTGTAAACTGGAATCAAATATAAGATATCCCAGAACAGAGCAATTAATGAAATAATCAACCCTTTAACTGCTATTTTTTAAATGGGCAGTTAAATACCAATCTTAAAATAAGCATTTATTAATTCATTTACTAAGAATTTATTGACGGTCTTCTATATATCAGGAACTAAGTTTCACATTGGGGATACAGTAGCAAAAAAGACAAATAATCCAGCCTTAATGGAGCTTGCAGTACAATAGAGGAAGTGTTCAGGTGTTAGAATATACAAAGTCTGTGATAATTGGGCATTTTGAAATAAGTAACTTCATCTTTGATTTCCTGATTTTCATTCCATTCTTGCTTTTGAAGATATTTGGTGAGCACTGGCTGAAAATTGCTTCTCAGTAGTCATCTGGGATAACATTTTTGATCTATGTGAACCTACTCTACATAAAGTGTCCAAACTAGCTTTAATCTTCTCATTTGTGTGAAGAGTTTGGAAGTTAAAAAAGATAGCCCCTTCATCCATTTAATTTTTACAATATCATTAGGAATTTTGTTTTTTAAAATATGAAAGTAACAATGCTGTTTTTAATAACCCAAACATTCAGAGATGCATAATGAAAAAGTTAATAGATTGCTTCCCAACACTACTGCCTCCAATTTGAACTGTCAAGATTAAGAGCCAAGATTAATGGCTTATTGTGTATCTTTACATACCTTTCTCAGTGCTCACAAACCAACCAACCTATATACACACTTTATAAAAACTTCTGGGATGCAGCAAAAGCAGTAATAAGAGAAAAGTTTATAATAATAAATACTCACATTACACGGAGAAATAACTGGAAAAAAAAACAGCTTAACTTTATACCTCAAGGAACTATAAAAAGAATAATCCTAAAGTTTGCAGAAAGAAGGAAATAATAAATATAAGAGTAGAAATAAATTAAAGAATAAAAAACTAAAAATCATCAAAACCAAGAGTTGTTTTCTTGAAAAAATAAACAAAATTGAAAAACCGTTAGCTAGAATAATCAAGAAAAAAGAGAGAAGTCAAATAAATAAAATCAGAAATGAAAGTGAAAACATTATAACAGATGCCTCAGAAACATAAGAAACTATTATGACCAATTATATACCAACAAATTGGATAACCTAGAATGAATAAATTCCTAGAAATTTACAAGCTACCAAAACTGAATCAAGATGAAATAGAAAGGCCAAACACACCAATAGAAAAACAAGATTAGATTAGTAATGAAAAACCTCCCAACAAAGAAAAGCCCAGGACCAGGTGGTTTCATGGTTGAATTCAACCAAACATTCAAAGATGAATTACTACCAACTCTCTTAAACTCTTGCAAAAAATACAAGTAGGAACACTTCCAAACTCATTTTATGAGGCCAGCATCAACTTGATACTAAAACTATACAAAGACACTACAAGTAAAGAAAACTATAGGCCAAAATCCCTAGTGAACGTCAATGCAAAAATCATAAATAAAATACTAGCAAAGTAAATATAATAACAAATTAAAACAATTATACACCATGACCAAGTGAGATTTATCCCTGGAGTACAAGAATGGTTCAACATACAAAAATAAATCAATGTAATATACCATATTACTAAAGAAAAAAAAAAAAAAGGTCATCTCAACAGAGAAAAAACGTTTGCCAAAGTTTAACTTCCATTCATGATTACAATTCTCAAGAAAACAAGTGTAAAAAGAATTTACTTCAATTTACTTTACACAATAAAGACCATCATATCAAAAAGCCACAGCCAATATCATAATCAATGAAATAAAACGGAAAACTTTGCCTCTAAGACACAAGATAAGGATGTCCCTTTCTACCACTTCTTTTCATCATAGTACTGCAAGTCTTAGCCAGAACAATTAAATAAGAAAAAATAAATAAAAGCCATCCAAAATGGAAAAGAAGAAAATTATCTCTTCTTGCAAATGACATATATGTAGACATTCCTAGATAATCCACAAAAATCTCTTAGAACTAATAAATGAATTCAATAAAGTTGCAGGATAAAAAAGGGAACGTACAATAATCAGTAACATTTCTATATATAAACAATGAACTATCCAAAAAAGGAAATGGAGAAAACAATCCCATTTATAATAGCAACAAAAATAATAACATACTAAGGAGTAAACTTATCAAAGAGGTGAGAGACTTGTACACTGAAAATTATAAAACATTGATAAAGCAATTCACAGAAAACACAGAAAAAAAGACCTATAAAAAACAAAGAAGATATAGAAAGACATCCTGTGTTCATGGATTGGAAAACTCAGTATTGTTTAAATGTCCATATTACCCAAAGAGATCTACAGACTCAATTCAATTTCTATCAAATCCCAATAGCATTCTTTACAGAAATAATAATAACATTCGTATGGAACCACAAAGACCTTGAATAGCCAAAACAATCTTATGCAAGATGAACAAAGATGGAGGCATCACATTTCCTGACTTCAAAAAATTACAAAGCCACAGCAATTAAACCAACATGGTACTGGCATAAAAAACGACCTAAAAGCCAATGGAGGATAATGGAAAATCCAGAAATAAATCCATATATCTACAGTCAACTGATCTTTGACATGGGTTGAAAGAATACACAATGAGGAAAGGACAGTCTCTGAATACCCACATGCAGAAGAATGTAATTAGACCCTTATCCCACACCACATACAAAAATCAATTCAAAATGACTTAAAGACTTAAATGTAAGACCAGAAACTGTAAAACTATGAAAAGAATGCATAGGGAATATGCTTCTTGATATTGGTCTTCACAATAATTTCTCAGCTATGAACCCAAAAGCAAAACTAGACAAGTGGGATTGCATCAAACTAAAAATCTTGTGCACAGTATAAAAACAATCAACAGAGTGAACAGGCAATCTATGGATTGATAGAAAATACTTGCAAACCATGTATCTGAGAAGGTGCTAATATCCAGAATATATAAGAAACCAAAATCAATAGCCAAAAAGAAATGACCTGATTAAAAAATGTACAGAGGACCTGAATTGATATTTCTTAAAAGAACACATACGGATGGCCAACAGGCATGTGAAAAGGTTTTGTGTTTTTTTCTTCTTTTCTTCTTTTTTTTTTTTGTCTTTTTCAACTATTTTAAATGATCAGCATTTCAAAAAATATTTTACTATGGTATACTGGAAGTATAAGTTGTATAGAGACTTCCAGAGAGTTATAATTCATTTCATGTATTTTTTTTTTGCAAATTTGCCTACAAAAAAGTGCACTATAACAACATTGACTTAGTGTGCAAGCATTGTATGTGTACAAAAAAATGCTCAAACTTTCTCAGTAAATGAAGACATGTCCTTTTTGTACAGCTGCATTTGTGAAAGATAAAATATATTGAGATCTTGGTTCTTTTAGGTTACTGCGCATGTGGTGTTGGCCCATCACAGTTTGTGCCAATCTTGTCAAGACTTACATTGTTCATCAAAGAATGTCAGATGACCACAGTTATAAATTTGGGTGGA